TCTCTCTCTCTCTCTCTCTCTCTCTCTCTCTCTCTCTCTCTCTCTCTCTCTCTCTCTCTCTCTCCCCCTCTCCCTCCCTCCCTACCAGGCACCACAGTTTCATGAAAACGGGATAACTGACACAAGAAGTCAACATTAGTTTGAAATTTGAATAATACGATCCGATTTTCAACAAGGTGACATTTCCGTGAAAATTATCATTTTTCCATATAACGAAGACAGTTCAATCATCTACCCATAAACCATGGGTTACAAAGACAGTGAAATCATCTACCCATAATCCCTGGGTAATTTTTAATACAAGGCAGGACATTGCTGATCCTCGAACTTGACCCTGGGGAGTGATGCTTAATGGCTCTGGCGTCTGGGCCTAGAAATCCCACACAAGGACCGTCTCTCTGGGCCCAGAAGTCCCACATATACTGCCAAGTTTGGTTACGAGCTAGGCCTCCGAACTGACGACCCCAGTCCCAAAGTCAGCAAAACATGGAACTGAAATTTGAATCTGAACCCAGACATCAAGATCGAGATCCCATGGGAAAAAGATCAGACGATCAAACCTACAAAAAATTTGCAGTCTGCAGTGGCTGATCGCCTATGCCGCTTTGCCGGTTAACCAGTTTCTTCACAAGAAAAGGGGACATTCATATACCGACAGCGCTGAAATGAAGAGCATCAAGAAGTTGCAAAGACAACGTACCAGAATTCACAATCCATTGCCTGCTACTTGTACCGAAGCTGTGCGATATCAACACGTCAATATGACATTCAAAAGGATAAGACGACCATCGAAACTCGAAAAAGCCACACTGATGTGAGAATAGAAGAAGAGAAAAAAGAAAAAAAAGTGATGAAGAAGAAGAAGAAGAAGAAGAAGAAGAAGAAGAAGAAGAAGAAGAAGAAGAAGAAGAAGAAGAAGAAGGAGAGAGAGGAAGGGAGAAAGAAGGAGATGGATGGAGGCTGGACGGAGACAGAGGAGATGGCGTGAATGTTGATTACACACTAAGTTGTGCTGGAGGTGTGGACTTCCCTCCTTGCAGGCAATACGACAGTCGGACAACCTGGAGGCCAGACGGCATACAACGTCAAGCCAACGGAAACTCGGAGGGAGGAGCCAGACTTTGCCTTCGACCAACAGTCATTCCACTACTAAGTAGCCATAGCCAAGCCCTTCTGTAGCTCTTGGTTACTCCCAACAACACGACAGTCCCAAGCGGCACTAAGACGGAGTGGAACCATAGAAAGAAAAAAAGGTTACGGCCGCAAGTTATCGGACAGTCGATCCTCCCCCCAGGGAGCATTCAGTGCTGTTGAGAGTTCCTTTGGCCTAGATGGAAGAACGAGTAGAGAGGGTCATGCTATGCATTTCTTATCGAACTTGCGGTACAAAAATGAACCGGACTTGCACTTCCCAGAATGGACAAGGCACCAGGACCATAAGGATCTGTTTTAATGAAGAAATGTCAAGAGAGAAAAAAAAAAAAAATGGAGATCAGATAAATCATAAATCAATATATAAAGTCAATCGATTTACAGATAGATTGTTCAGAACATAAATGAACGGATGGATCGATAGATAGATCGATAGATAGATTGATTGATATAGATCGATAGATAGATGGAGATGGATCGATAGATCGATCGATAGATAGAATTACAAATGAACAGAAGTGGGAAGTTGAACCACCAGCACATCCAAGCCAATTTGCCGAGGCAGATTCTCCCTGCGCACCAAGCTCTGGCGAAACACCAGCCCAGCGCTTTTTCTTTCCTTTTGGCTTGCGCTGCAAGCCATTTCGGTCGGAATGAGCCAATTTGGATTTCCAAGCTTGCATTGGCCATGTACTTGTGGTTTAAGGGAGGACAAGGAGGAGTTTCTTGATGTGTGGTTGCCTGAGAGTGAGGTGTGTGACAGAATGAGGGGAAGGGAGGGACACAGACACAGAGAGAGGAAGACAGGAGAGCAATTGAGGAAAGGCAGAGCGCCCAAGCTGGAGAATGAACAACATCTGGCTGATCATCTCAACTGACCTGGGAAAGCAGTATAGCCTCCATACTTCATCTGGCTTTCAACGTACAATCCTCCCTGAGGGTAATATCCGCCCGCACCTGTGTACATCTGCCATCGGCCATCGTAATTACCATGCGACTGGACCTGATCCACTGCACCAATGTGGTTGAACACACTGACGTTTGCTGCATTGTACAAAGGACCACGAAGCACCGGTCCACCATTCTGCTGAGTGTGCTGCTGCCACTGGCTCTGCACATTAACTGGTTGCCACTGTTGCTGCTGTCGCTGAAGTGGTTCCTGGAGAGTTTGCTGCCGCATTTGTGTCGGCTGTGGTGCTTGAATTTGTATTGGCGCTTGCTGGTGCTGGTGTTGGTGCTGGTGCTGGTGCTGGTGCAGGTGCAGGTGCTGTTGCTGGTGTTGTTGCAGGTGCTGGTGCTGTTGCGGTTTATGAGATGTGAATGCCATCCGGCCAGCAACTGGCCGTGAGGTGGCATTAGCCCGTGAGGTATCAGGGTTTTGTAGGAGTGCTTGCGCTTGCAGCACTTGATGTTGCTGTTGCTGTTGCTGTTGCTGTTGCTGTTGCTGCTGGTGCTGGTGCTGGTGCTGTTGCTGGTGCTGTTGCTGTTGCTGTTGCTGTTGCTGTTGATACAATGGGCGTGGCACTTGGGCAGCAACTAGCCGTGAGGGAGCAAGAGGTCGCGAGGCATCAGGATTTGGTTGGAGCCCTTGTGCTGGTGGCACCTCGAGATTTCTGGGTGGTTTTCCTCCTTTCTGAGGAGCGTGGTGCTTGTCTCCCCTGGCAAGGAGGTTATCTGAAACCAAAGATGATGCTTCTGACCTTCCTGGGATGTTCTCCTTGTCCTTCACTTCACTTGCACTTGTTGCTTTTGCAATCCAAATAAAACACATAGAGTCATGGCCCAGACAGAAAAGACATGCATAGCATCAGGAAAGTCTTTTGTCCTCGAAACAAACGCATGGCTGTGATAATAAATTCGGCTGTGATAATAAAT